TTGTAGCTTGTCCCTAGTTCCCGTGTGTTAAACAGTCAACACCCCCTGGGAATAGACTGCACTTTTCATCATTTGGGTAGGAATTCTAGAGCATGGAAATGTCCTAATTTGCTATTGCTGCATCAGCATAATGAGTCAGATTTAGGTCCTCTGGGAGAATAACAACACTTAGCACTTATACACAGCACTTTTCATCTTCAGGGGCCTTCACCACATTAGGCTGTAATGTTATATTTCTCTCAGCCAGACAAAGGAGTTAATTTCTAGTCTTTTCAACTCCCATCCCTCTCTTCACACACACACACACAACTGCTATCGGATGATGATGAAGCTCTCTTCGGCTTTCTGGATGTGCATTAGTTGATATTTTTTTAAAAAATCAAATGTGAAAGCTCAATTTACCTTCCGCTGTCTTTTTTAAAATCTTTTCTTGTCGTTTCCCTCTAATATTAAACAAAAAATCAGCATGCCACTTGCCACTAATTAGAGTCCATTCAGCATTACTGCTAGGGTTCCCATGCTCAACTTGATTCTTCATACCTCATGGTCTTCTGTGTCCTCTCTGGCCACTGAGGAGAGTTGAATGCTCTGTCTTGGAGGATTCTGGAGGACTCTGCCAAGTTCATGCTCAGACCTCTGCTCTATTTCACCTCTATTCATTCCTGACCCAGGTGATTCCATTGAGTGTCACGTATTTAAATACCACCAATCTGCCAATTACTCCCAAATTGACATCTCTGACAGGTTGCCACCTCCAAAATTACAGACCTATATATCCATCTGCCAATTTAGTATCTCCATTTAACAAGTCTAAACACAATCTCCTCGATTTTCTCCTTAAACCTGCTCTTGCCATAGGCAACTCCATTGTTCTAGTTACTTCAGCCAAAAATCTGACTTCGTCCTTGATTCCACTCTTTCTACTACTCCCAGGTCTAATCCATCAGCCGATTCTACAGACTCCAACTTCAGAATATATCCAGAATCTAATCACCCACTTCATCTCCACCTTGACCAATGTGCCATCATCTTTAACCCAGATCCTTCCAATACCCACCTAACTGGTCTGTCTCTGCTGATGCCCTCCAACGGTTCACTTTCAACTCAGCAGCCAACGTGATATTTCTAACACATAAGTCAGATCCTATGACTCCTCTGCTCAAAACTGCCCTCTGGTTCCCCATCGTGCTCAGAGTGCAAGCCGAAGTCTTCAGGTTTTCCTGGGTCTGCCCTCCCACGCCAATTCTTTAGCGTCATTACACACTCGCCCTCCTGTCAAACTGTCCTCTTTGTGGACCCTCCAACCCACTAACCTCCGGGTTTTGTATGTATTTCTCTCTCCCCTCAAAACACTCTTCTCTCATACCTGGTCCAGGCCTCTCCTCCTGCAGTTCTCTGCTGCATGTCCACTTAACAGCCACTTACCAGCCCCACTTACCACCCCCAGCTCTACCTGTACCCCTTCCCTGCTATATTTTTCTCCACAGCACTTAGCACCTTATACATTTATACATTTTATTTTAACTTCTTGTTTGTCTTGACCACTAGAATTAAGTTACATGAAGGCAGGGTTGCTTTATCTTCTTTTTCTTACCAGCTTCGATTAGTAGTATAGTCACCAGTGCCTTGGACAGTGCATGGTAGGCACTCAAAAATATTTTTCGAATGAATAAATAATAAATGAAAGTTTCTCATCTGTTTTAGGACATGAACTAGCCTGACTTCTAAGCCATGGGCAAGCTTAAATTTGTGATGCCTGCTTGTGATGAATGCTTTTCCAAGGGAAAAAGAAATCTCTTATTAAAGAGTTTTGAGGCTATGAGATCACACTAACATGGAAGACTGAAGCAACTATGCAATGTGTTGTCTACTATTTATGATATGGCTGTAGATATTGCAGTTTCTTCCAGTGTCCAGAACCTGCCTCTAGCCTGTTCTCATTCTATGCACACATTAGGATGCTTCTGGAAATGATGTCAGGATTAGAGACAGTCTATAGAACACAGTTTTCCCCAATAAACAGCTACATGTGCTAAGCAAGAATCAATTGTCTATTTGCTCTTTAATAGAATTTTCTAGACCAAACTACAGCTAGAAATTTAGAGGTGGGTGAGAGGACCAGCCCAATCTTCCCAATACTTTTGTATAAAGTACTTAGAAAGTTCTAGCAAGAACTTTTCTTAAACTAATTCTCCAGATATATTACTCCATCTTCTGCTTTACTAAACCTTGCTGAGGAAGCTTTATTAAAAAACAAAGAGGGAAAAATCAGAAGAGAGTTGGAGACACAGAATTAAAAAAGAAATAATTATCTGAATGTGGAGCAAAAGCGAAGCAGGAGAAGATAGCACTCAATGATAACAAGGTATACGTTGAATAAAGATCTATAGTCCTACTTTTTAAGCAGAAAACAAATAAATGAAGAAAGAGCTGGGGTTGGCAGTGTCCAGAGATGTTGGTGGCTGGAGAAATGCGGTCCAAAGGATGGGTAAAAATATATTGGCAGATTGGAGAACATTTCCTACTCATTTCCCACTCTGTGTCTTCCAAAGAAATGCTAGAACAGAAGCCACCGACATAGCCCATTTGGCTACTGGATGAGTCGCCATGCATTGGGACTCAAGAAGATGCCTGCCTGAGGAGCCACGGGCACCCAAGGCTGGATTTGGCTCCTTCGGTTTGAACCAGGCAAGGGAAGAGGCTACCTTAACAGCCTCAGTGCTATACAGCTTCCCGTGTATGCAAGTGAAGCTGGGGCACGAGACGGTGGTCTGCTGAGAGGCCTGCCCGAAACCATGGGAGACACTGGCTGCAGAATCCCCACTGCCACATACCCATCAAGAAATCATTACATGGCTAAGAGCAACATTTAAAAGAGAGAAAATACTTATCTTTTTCTACGACTACAATCGTCTTCTTTTTCAACTTTGCTTGCCTATCTTCATTTTTAAAGTTTAATTATTTAATATTCTTTCTCAACTCACAAGGAATCAAAAGCAACTTACAAAACCTACATACCATACAAATGTTTCTTAAATTAAAAAATCAGGACCAGATTAAATATAAAATTGAACTGGAAGTCTAGTCTGGGGTAAGAAGTATAATACCCTTATCACAGTGTTCTAAAAAGTTCTCAAAGTTAAACAATAAATTTGACTTCATGTTAACCGAGCAGTCAAAGCAAAAAAGAAAAACAGAATCAGTTACATGATTCTCGTGTCCATGAGGAGAAAATATTTCAGTTCCTCAGGGGAAGCAAACTATTTCCTGGAATTCAAATCTACAAGAATTTCCTCCCATGGGACATCATATAGGAAATCGTGAGCACTACGTAATGGAGACCGCCTAAAATGACACCCTTGTCATGAGCTTCCAAAAGCTGTCCTTGGTAAATGTCTTTAGGAAAATCAAAGACACACACTTCAGTTAGAACCATTCTATCAGAAATATGAACCAAGTAAACACCTTTCATGTAGTTCATTTTAACCTAAGAGGTCCACCTTGACTATCTCAAGGAATGAATGAATTTAGTCCCTTAGTCATGGTAGGTATGCCATACCTACCAAGAAAGCTAAATTTATTACTCTACCAAAGGAAATTTACTAGTCTTTTTGGTTTTTGGTTCTTCTTCTCCCTTGCTATTTTCATGTGTGTGTGTGTGTGTGTGTGTGTGTGTGTGTTTAATTTCTATTGCCATGAAATATAGAATGTACACCTTTATTTTTGAGTTAATTTTTTAAGTGCTCAAAACAGTATCTGACAAATGTTAAATAAATATTTGTTTGAAAAAAGAGAAAAAAGCCCTTCATATCACTGAGGTGGTGGGTATGAGAACATCAAATATGAATGACATATTGAATTTATTATAAATAAATAAAATGAATTCATGAAGATTTTATATCCCTCTTGTAACCTTCATTTATTTTCATGATTTTTCCTAAAGCATTACGGACTGAATATAAGCCCTTGACTATTTTAATGTGAGAAAGTGACATGAAAAACCTGGCAGAGGAGGATTATTAAAATTTCGCATAGAGGAGTATTCAAAGGTTTTGAAACACTTAGAGAAATATCAGAGCCTTTTAAAATTTTTCTCCAGATGGAACAGCTGGAACTTCAGAATCCATTACAACTTCACTGGTCCTTCGTCTCAACCAACTTTCACATTTTAAGACTCTGTTCATAGAATGTGTCTAATTTGTTGTTTAGTACAGTTTGGGCATTCAATAATGATCTCTAAAAAAACAATGAAAAAAATACTAAAAGGCTTCATTATCACATTTACTTATGACTTCATTTCCTTTCCTTAATCTTGTAAAGTGATTTGAAAATGCCAGCACAACATTATAATAAAACTGAATGTATTCTGGAGGGATTCATAAAGTGGATTTTCTACATTTGTAAGAACAAATAATCTATACTTATAGTTAACCTATCTGTCTCAACAGCAACAGATGTTCAATAATGTGAGTAGGAAGCAATCGTTAACCCAATAGAGATCTACTGGGAAGATTGTAGAAATGAGAGTTACAACCTAGGCCAAAATCGAAGAAATCCCTTCTTCTACTGCTATGATTTTTCACTGGTTGTATCTTTGACTCTTGTCTTCTGCACTCACCACAATCTAAGGCTATTAAATATTTCACAAAGTAAAACAACTAGTTTTGAACAAAAAAATGTTTGTGAGTTTATCTGAATCAGCTTCAAGAATCAGGTAATGTTTTTTGTTTGGTTGGTTTTTTTGTTCGTTTGTTTGTTTTGCTTGAATTTTACATTTCAGATTTCAGCTTTTCTCATGATTTTTCCAGTTTTGGATTCTACCACAGTCAGGGATTTATCAACTTTTTAAAGCATTAGACAAACACCTGCAAATGGCTAAAATACTGTTTAAAGGCCAGGTCATATCGGCACAACCTGCAGTGCCACCAGCTCTCCAGGAAGAAGTTTCCAGCAGGTGTCAGAGGAGGTACGGGTCTAGGCATCCGTCCGAGCAAACCTACCCGCTTGCTGCTCTCCTCCTCCTGGGCCTTCCGGAACTCATGCTCGAGGGAGCAGTCCAGCTCGCTGAAGAGCCCCACTTCCTCGCAGTTCTTCAGGAACCTTGTTGGGGTCGGAGTCTGATCTGAAAATAGAGACCGGGTGATCATGCGTGAATTCTAAGATGCTGATTGGACATCCACAATCTTCTAGCCCTAGAATATGGAAGAAAATAAAACCATAAATCCCAAAGGAGGAACACGGTGTGTAGTAGGCTACAGCAGATGAGGGCTTTCCAATCCTCCCTCTGGATGACTTCAGGAGACCCTGCTCTTGACTTTTGGGATCCGTATCTCTTGAATAACACTGCAATGTGTGGAAGGACTTTTATCCTAACTGGAAAAAAAAAGATTTAGCTAAAATCAGGCCAAAAAATCTGCTGAGCCCATGTTAAGTCTGATTTCAAGGGGCTTGGAGCAAAAAAGATTTCATAAACTTTTATATCATACAAAGAGAAACAAACAAGCATATTAATTCCTTTTTGTTAGCAGAGAAAGAACATTCAGCAATTCTCTCTCTCATTTTGAGAGTCATAGTTTCCAGGTCAAACACATTTAGCTTCTGCCCATTAAAAACATAATTATTAATTTTAGTTTCCTTTGCTATAGCTAACAGAGTGTTCTGAAAATACTCTTTAAAGGGAATAGAATTTCTTTCATATTTTGACTGTCTAGAGAGCTTACTACTGAGAAAACCAGAGGATCTGAAGCCACCGTTTACAGCTTAATATTTATGCAGTTACAAAATATTTTCACACACGTTCTCTAGAATCTAGATCTCACAGGATGCTATAAGGTAAATAGGGAGAATTACACCTTCGTAATCGTTTAGGACAGTCATCTTCCTTAGTAAAGGTGTACTTGAGTTGATATGAATAAAACTATGTAAACTGCCCTTTCTCAGAAACAGTAAGATATAAGAACCAGAAAGGACCATGGAGGGAAGACTGGCCATGCCAATTCTTTTGCAAATGAGGAAAATGAAGCCTTGATTGATAAAGGGTCTTGTTCAAGGTCTCCCAGGTACAGGTGGCAACACCAGGATTATAACCAAGGGCTCGGTGCTATTTTCACTATGTACCTATATAACTCCTACCCAAGCCTATGGCAGCTCCTACTAGATTGAATACAGCACTTATCTGGCTTGACCTACACTCAGTCTCCAAATCTCTTTCTGCAGTTTTCTAAGACACCACCCGCAGCCACCTGAAGAGTACCCTTAAGTTAAAACAAATTTTCCATTTCTGCACTCCTTTTACAAATTCCTATATGACAAGCAACTAGAATCGTATTTACTTTTCTAAACCGAAGAGAGAACACTTAATCCCAGTAAGTTATCCATTGAGATTCAAAGAAATAGCCTACTATTCACGAAGCTAAAAATAGCTTGATATGCCATTTAATCAGTGCTGCCAAGGCAATGTCTCCCGATTCCCTATGGGCAAGGGGATTTCCCATATCTTAAGTAACCAAACGATTGACCCGGATTCCAGTGCAGCAAAATCCCCAACTGCATTCTCCCCCATTCTTAGCCCCAACTCCAAGATGCTGAGCTCTCTTTGCAGTGCACAGAGAGCCTACCACAGGTGGTCATAAATTTTATCTTTTACAGATAAAAGATATGCAAAGGATTGGGTCTAATGGAAAACGGGTTTATTAGCACATTAATTAATTTTCTAAAATGCACACATATACACCTATGTATCCAATATATACATATAACAGTTATGTGCTGTGTACTAATAAAATATAAAATTAGCATTTATGAAGCATTTTGCAGTTTACAGACAGTTCGTCCACATTATCTAGAATCTAAATCTCACAAGATCCTACAAAGTAAGGTGCATATTATTTTAGAAATGGAGACATAAGTTAAAGGCCTTGCACAAAGTCATACAATTTGTAACTATCTTATCTTTACTAATTCTTCTCTCAGTTACAGACATAATTCTTTCTCAGTCTAAATCCTGTGCTTTGCCCAGATTCTCCTCCCAGCTCCCAAGGACTCGTTGTATGTGTAAAAGGCAATGTTGACAACCCAGAAACCCAGATTTAAAATCACACGATTGGGGGAAATCATCTACATTCTCTAAACCTCATATTCCGCATCTTTCAAATGAAGACCCAAAGTTACATGATTCTGTGAATCCTAACATCACCCCTATAATGCGTTTGCTTCAATAGACACTGTCGGTAGGTCAAAAAAAAAAAAAAAAAGATGACCATTTAAAGAACAGCTAAATGGGGGGCATCACTAACAGCTGTTTAGATACTAAAAATTAGGCCAGAGGTAAGGGCTAGCTAGATATACAAAGGAGTTTTCTGAACAGAAGGTGTAAACAGACAAGACCTGAGAGTGCAAAATAAAGGATGTGTGTGTGTATGTGTGTGCATGCGTGTGCACGTGCGTATACATATTCTTCCATTTATTTGCTACGTATTCCATGCCAAGCATAGTGATAAGTGCTTTGTATGTACCATCTCATTAATTTTTACATCAACCACATTAGGTAAAAATTATTTTCTCCATTTTATTTATGAGGAAAATGAAACTCACCCCAGTCCCGTTTAGAAATTTAGTCAGATAATTGTACCGGTAATAGACAATCCTAACAATCTTGAAATATCTTGAAATCATTTAATCCCTCACAGAGTAGAACTGCATTACAATCCTACAGGCTCTCTATTACCTTGCAGGAACATTCTTGTGATTACAAAACCTGAGAAAACATCACATAACAGAACTGAAATGTTAGACCACTTGTCATCAGTAGGAATTTAGTTTTCCAGGTTTTAACTTTGCTTTTTTACTCTATGCTTCTTGGAGATTTATAAGTTGAGGGCCATGATTCCAGGTAGATAGAATAATCATCCTAGAGGCTCCATTAAACTAAACTCTGAGACAAGTTCATGAGATGGTCCATGAAATAGATTTCAGGCTAGCGTTTCGGAGCCAAGCCTCAAGCAAAGTTGAGAGATGTTTTATGTCTCCTCTAAAGCAAACTTATTCCCAAATACCGTCACACGGCCACCTGCACCAGCAAAGGAGGTTGAAAGTGCATGGCACAGGGACGGTAATGTCACTGTCCATCACCATGGGCCTCTCTACAGCAGCAAGGACCAAAGCTAGGAAAAAGAGGAGCCATGGGCCACAAACAGAGTTGGATCCTTGCCATCCCTAGAGCAGAAGACTCAGACGAAGGCCCCAGAGTTGTTACCAAATGTGACTTTCTTTGCTGTATGATATAGTGAGTGAAAAACAAAACAGATATCTCTATTCACATTTGGAATAGATAAGGCATACTGTTCCTAATTTTTTATTCATTTTCTTCTTGTGAATGAGCTATTCTTTCCAGTTACAACAGGAACCAGACAATGGAGCTTAACTTTTGTTTTAACATTTATTAGAATTAATACAGGGTCTCCAGTTGTCTTTGATCCCACATGGTACCAGTTCCAAGTAAGCCAGGAAATGTGCAAATCTTCAAAAAGGGAACAGCTAAATCTATCAGCAGCTTAAATAAAAGAGGCAGAGGTTCTTAGCCACATGAATGTCTTGTCAAATAACTATTCCAGCTGAAATTAGACCTGAAATGAGTGGGTAATGTCCAGGGCCATAAATTAAAATTCTTGTAAACCACACCCTATTTAGAACTAAGAGCATACAACCAGTTAGCTACGGCAGCAGCTTTTTCTGTATCTTGAGTGATAGGGGCCAGTGCTCTATTTGTGGATAATATCTAAAGTTCGTTCCGTAGTAATAGGCCACACTCTGAGGACTTACAGGAACTGGTCCCTGAGTTCTTACTGGGAACTCAGAGCTGAGATGATCATTCAAGGACTTCTGCTCACCTTTCTTTTAGAATTTCCACTTCAGTGATGCCCATCTGAATGAGAGAAGGGGATAACCCCAACTCTCAAACGAAACTAAAAGTTAATAACTTTTGAGTTTGCACTTGACCCAAGGTGAAAGTATTTTGTTGTTATTACCTTTGTAAATCTGAATAGGCGCTACATAAGGACCTGCATGTTACCTTCTCGCGGAGTTTGCATATAGCGCACCACGTTCTCAAGAGACCCAGACACCTAGGGCCAGTGCGATTGAGAATTCTTACCACTTCTAGAAGTTTCACACATCCTTGGGGATCTCTTTACCCATCGGACAAAAGAGATGGCACCGAAAGGAATTTTAAAAATCCTTTGTAAAGTCTGTCATATTTCAATATCTGGTTCCGTTCCTGGAATGGTGACTCTGTTGGGAAATGGGAGCATCCTTTCATAGCATTGCTGCCTCCGTAGAGAGCTAGGGAGAGGATACTTGCCATGCAGAGACGCTACTTGTACATCTACCCAAAAGAGTGGCAGAAACTTAGCATTATGATTGAGGAATTCACCCATCAGTTATACAGTAGGAAATCTGACACTACATTACATTTGAGAAGGACAAATATATGGCTAGAACTAATAGGAAAAAAGTAACTTGCTAAGTTCTTCCAATCATTCCATAGTCTGCCTAACATCAAGTGCTTCAGCCTCAGCGAGTATGATTATTCCAAAGTCTAAATGACAAGCACAAAGCTAAAGCCTGAAACCTGATTCCTCTTTTAAAAAGTGTTTAGTCTGCTCAAATTTAATAATAGGTTGCTACCTTATTCGGTTTCAGAGCTGCATTTGAGTTATATGTTTGTCTATGTTTCATTTTCCTCGATGATAAAAAAAGGCAGAGCAACAAGTCACCAATTAAAAACAAAGAACAAGGAAAGAAAAGCAGAGTTCTCATCGTATACCAGAGGAGAAGAATGTGAACTTCCTAAGTGAAATTTTCTGTCCTATTGGTCTGATATTCTTAACTATGGTACTACTAAAGGAATACATAAAGTCATTTTACATCATTTCATATTAAATTGATGGTGGCTAGTAATACTATAAAAAGCCTCGCTAATTCAGACCAGTTATAAAAAAGATCAGTTTGAATTAGTGACCATTCTAATTATAGGGTATTTTTTAAAAGGCAATGCATTTTTATTATTTGCATGACTCAATTGCAGCCAACAAAATGTGGCTTAATGGAATTCCCAAGAGAGCC